CAGCTTTGATTCTTGGGTTTGTCGTCTTAGTCTTTTTGAATAATTTTAGTATTGTCAATGTTGCGTTTTCAGATCTGTTGGCGCATGACTGCAAGAGATGCTGTGGGCCCGTCCATGTTCCCTTTGGCCTCTGGTTTTTGGTTGAGGCTTGAAGGCTGTTACAGCGAAACGGCTTGTAGACAAGCTGCAAAAAAGGTGTCCTGGGTCTAGGGTGTCTAGCGAAGGTCACATAAACAAGGGTCCGGAGGGCAAAAATCACATCTAACATGCTCCTCGAATCTTGGCTTACATCGGCAGCCTGGACCGGCATTTTGGGTGCATGAAGTGCAAAGGGCGCAAGCTAGACTCCACCTAAACAGTCATCGGAACAACAGCCCCTGAAACCCACAGCTCTAAGCCGTATCACGCCTGAACCCGTTTCTAAAAAAATCCCTAGGCACCGCTGGGGCCTGAACCCTGCATCCGTTTGTGAGGATCCGGCCTGCACTTCCTTGCATTGACGTACCCAACGTCAGGAATAAAGACCTCGCACCAACTAGGTGGCGGTCCAGAGCCCAAGACATAACTTATGCCTCGCAAGGAAGCAGGTGCTGACTGACCGGGTAGCTTGGTGGAGGACCCGTTCCCGAAGATGCTCGATGAGCTGGGGATGGCGAAATTGTGAGCCTGCCCGAACATCCATTCCAAAGCACGCTGACATCTCACATGCAGACGCACACTCTCCAGCGAAACTTCCAGTAGCCGGGGCAAAGCCTGCCGCCAATCGATGTTGCAAAGCGGCCAAAATCTCCAAGTAAGCAGTGACCTCGAGCCAATGCTGTCCCACCGAGATGGCTCCGGTATTGCTGTCTTTTGGCATGCAGCATGGCTGAGTAGCACATATACTTTTCATCAACCAAGACTTGAAATTTGCCTCAACACACGACTGAAGACAATCTTCGCCAACGCTTCATTATAATTTCTTGCACTCGCTACTACAGAAAAGGAACATGTTTCCGTTCAGGCACTGGCCACATAGTTCTCGCATGATGGACCATTGCTCCTGGCGCTGCTTGGTGTGCAACTAGCTTCGGTGTTTCTTCGCCAATTTAGTGTGCCCCAGGCTACCCGAGCCCCGTCTCACCAATGAAAGGAGGGTCGTAGTCTTTACCGCCAGCCGCTGGTTGCATGATGCACTAGTGCCGGCCTTCCATTCCACATGCCAGTTGGGACAATCCAGGTATGTATGTATGTATATATATATATATATCTGTGTGTTCTACATATACATATGCCCAGAACTCATCTGTATATATATATATATGCATATACACAGTGTTATAATATTATATTTATATATACATGTATGTATGTATGTATGTATATATTTTCTTCATAAACATGAATGAATAAATAGATAAATATGAATAATAAATAAATACATAAACAAATAAATAAATAGGTATATATATATACAGGCAGGTCTATCTGTTTATGTATCTATCTATCTATCCATCCATCCATCTATCTACTCCCAAATTAAAGGGTCCTAGGTACTGTTATGGGGGAAACTTTCCCAAATCATAATAACAATTCCTAGTATAGAAACCCCACATTCTACTATATAGGTACTTTGGACCCTTTGGGACTGGCTAGCTATCTATCTACCACGCAATATCCAATACCTTAGATGACATAATTCCCCAACGAGTGCTTCGCCTGACGTCTGCCTGAGAGGTGGTGCGTCTCACAAGGTCCATGCGTGCAGCCACCTGCGTGGTCTCTTGACTTAGACAATCGAGGCTGCAAGCAGGAGCTCAGTCATGCTCAATCTATATACCGTCGCTCTGCACACCAACATCAGTACCATGATTGCTCTTACGACGGCCATCGAGGTGAACATGACGATTAGGGTGATGGTGAGAGTGGAGACTTTCGACTTATGAGCATTTGTGACTGGACTGCCATGTTCTGCTGGTACTTCCTCTCATGATTCCTATTGGTCTTGGTTACTTGGGATTCAGCCGTGACACATCGCTTGTAGCATGTTGTGCCCAACAGCTACCTGCCTGTCTGGTTCGGTTTTGTCCAGGTTTTGTGACCAACTAACATACCATGCTGTCCGACTGGGATTTCCACTTGGGCCGTGTGCAAGAGGCATCCCCATCCCGGGCATCACAACTTTCCGGCCCGATGCCGGCTTTGATCGGGTATCCGGGTGGCGCCGGTCTGTCTCGGTCGGTGTTTTGGAGCGTGGTGACAGTGTCCTGCTCAGTGCGTCAGTGTCCAGGTCGTCATCCGTGTGTAGTGTTCTGATTGGCTTTGTTGGGCGCCCTGGGTACATCATGTCGATCATCCCCAGATCGTTCCGTTTGGGGTGTTCCGGTGCTCTCTCGGGTGTTCAAATTGACTGATGTGTCGTTGCACGGCACCGTTTACTCCGGAACCCTGCCTCCACTGCCGAGAAAGCCGGTACGGCCAGCAGATCAATGCAGAAGTCTTCCATATCAGATGGCAGTCGGCCCTGCGACGCAGAAATCGCAGCTTGGAGCTCAAACCCTCACTTAAGCTGTTGGCCCCATCCACATCCACACCCGATACGATCGATAAACACTTGTGGTCATTGTCATCCTTTCCTGCCTCAGCTCAAGGATTTAACAGGCTCAGGTCTATAGTTCTTCCGAAAACTTGACCGTACAACAAAAACTGCTTGGAGTGGAGTTTTCCTTTACCCAAACATCTCAAAGCACCGCCAAAACTCAACAGCGGGCTGGGCTAAACTATAGTTTGTGCGTATAAGTAAATCAGGCACTTTCTTGTGGTAGTGCACCTGATCGCCCAGGTATCAAAGGTTATCAGAAGCAATCGAAGCCTCTTGACCCAACACAGGAAGCAGGAGCTTTGACTCCGAGGCTCGCAACCAGCGTCGAATTCCCAGAACCTTTGGGTCTAAAGCCAACAAATAGTCGCACATCCCAACACCGATCAGAAGTTCAGCTGCATCATAAAGGTACACCGAAATCCTAGGCCCTCAAACTAACTCCCTATAATACCTAAGCCCTCGACCTTTCTGCAATTCACTTCCGGTGTTGCCTCCAGGGATCTGCAACCTACCTCGACTCCTGACGGCACATCGTGCCACCTTTCGGCTGCTTATAAGAGCTTGATGGGTAGTTCTCTAAAGGCCCCTTTAAGGGTCCTTTTTGTAAGCTTTTTTATAAAGTGCCGCACTATATTGGGGTCCTAAAAGGGGACCCTTATTTAGAGAGCTACCCTTATCAAGGCCTATACGGGTCTACGGGATTTACACGAGTCCAGAAATTCGAGTTTGGCGAGTCGCCTTTCACGCGTGGCCAGTCTGGCTAGGATTCAAAACAAGCGGTCTTGATCCACCAGTTCCCAAAGAGCCGAGCTTGCACAGGGCAAGAAGATTTTTGCCTCCTACCTAGGACACAGACTGCATCGCAGGGTAGAGTCGAGAGCACAGTTGATGGACAAGTAGCATGTGGCCATCGTTGGACGGTGGGAGTGAGTCTTCTTTGCTGCTTCCCATTTTTGGGATTTTCATGGCCTGAAACCTCAAAGATCAAGAACATGCTCCCTGGAAAAACCTGTAAGCCTGTAAGAGGCCTACCTGGACAAACCTGTAGAACCTCAATTCAGCCCGCACAACCCAAACACGGCGAGTCTTTGCAAGATTAACCATGCTGCAGTGTGTCGCCTTCCCCTGAGAATAAGGAACGGTCTGGGGGAAAAACTCAGACTGACCCAAGCAGGTGCTCATCCCTGAATCTTCCGTGCATCCAGTTAGGTTGCTGACGATGGCAGAGCACTGGGACATGGCTCTTTGTGCATTGCCTGGTTGTGCACTTGAGCACAGTTAACCCTGACTCTTGGACAGCCAAAGCAAAGCCCAGGAGCCTATGCTGCAACCCCAAATACTTCTGAAAGAACTCCTGGCTCCCGCAGCCGGTTGCGATGCATCGTTCGAGGCTGCGGCATGCAGTCCACGCTCCGACGCCACAGGGAGGGTTGCGACTTCATCACCCGAGCCACCTCACCAAGGAGCCCTCGATCAGAGTCCAGGGTTCTTCAATTTGGGGACATTCAACCTAAACCCTAAACCCTAAGCCAAGCAAGATGTTCGTGTTCCTTGCGGGGTACTTCAGGTCTCCCGTGCACGGTTGAAGGTCTTGGGAACGCGAGGTGGTGCAAGATTTCAACTTAGGCTGGGCCGAGGCCTATAGGATTCGAGGAATAGGGATCGGGCTTATCGGGTTGATAGACAGGATGAACATACTCTTCGGCTTGGGTGATCCTGAATCCTGAAAAGGCATTTCAGCCAAGGGTTTATGTCCTCCTAAAAGCTCTCCTAAACCCTAAACCCCAAAACCCCTAAAGCCCTTTCCAAGGCTCCTGGAGAAGTCTTCGGCGCCTCCCGGACGGAGCGATCAGCCAAGGGAGCAAAGACGAAGGGCTCCTGCCCAGGAGCTGGAAACCCTGAAGTTAGCGCCTGAGAACCTTGAGCCTAACTCCGAGAAGAGAACCTCCTTGGGGGGGGGGGGGGGGGGTTGCAGCTTTCGTCCCGGCGTTTGGGGCTCATCGAGCAACTTGTCTGTTTACTGGGTCCTGACAGGTATGATCCGGGTCGTACGAACATTGAAGGCATTAAGGTGAGCGGGCGTCCTCCGGATTCTTAGCTAGCCTTGCTTTTTTTATCGGAGGTCTGGGTGGCTTTGACTCGGGGCTCCCATGCAATTAGAACTACCTGCACCTCTTGCAATAGGAGCTCATCGCCCCGATGCAGGTGCTGCTTGAAACCGGGCACGTGTAGTCACCGACGAAGATCGCCGAGATGTGTCTGCTGTCCGCCGGGTGTTTAAGTCAGCTACATGTACTTACCATCCCCGGGCAGTGCTATTGAGATCCTTCATACTGCGTTCTTCTGCACACCGGAGTTCTGAAATTTCATGCGTCTTCCAGGTCTGCCCCTTCTGTCGGCAAGCTCGAAGTTAGCGAGCCTCTTGGAACACCAAGGACATGTCCACAGCATTCATGCTGCATCCATGGGCCTCGCAGCATTGAGAGGTGAAGGTTCGACGGTGCGCTCAACATAAAAAGTAAAGTTGGATCTTAATTGTTTCCCCATCTGCTTCTCTGACTCGGTCGCACCGCAGGGAAGCTGCTTGACTTGTTGGGTAGAACGAGCTTGTCCTGCGACTATCACGTCTCGCCCAACTTCAAAAAGCACAGGTTCAGAGCCAGATATCAAGCTCAAAGACTTGCACTATGGAAACATCATTACAAGGATCCTCGCAGAAAAGAACCGAACCCCCTAGAAACCCAAGAGCCTGCTCCAGGTTCTTGTAGATGGCAAGGACGAGGCTCAAGCAGTCCTGAGACGCTTTTAAGCGGAGAGCAAAGCTGCCTCCGAGTTCGGCTTCTCGGATCCTAACACCCCAGATACCCACTTTCTAGGGTACTAGAGCCCCTATAGGGCCCTATGTAGTAGGTACCCGGGAGGTTAGGGGGATCTCTGTGGGGTTTCAGCGCGCCGACACTCGGACTTAGCAGGAAATCCGCACGGGCTTTTGGGTTCCAGTTCCAGGGCTAGGGGTGGTTTCGGATACGCCAGCCTCACCTCACCGCCCTCGCAGGACCCGCTGACTGCAAATCGAGTGTTAATATGTTTGTGCCGTCTGTAATTTAGGGGCCTTATTAATTATTAGAATAGGACTTCTGCTTGCTCTACCTGTGACTCCCTGCATGTCTGAAGTGGACAAGACAATCTAGGTACGCTTCAAACTTCGCCATACTGTTCTACTCTACTCTATAGCATAGCATAGCATAGCATGCCATACCATACCATACCACACCCCCATACCATGCCATACCATAGCATACCATACAATACCCTACCACATCATGCCATACCATACTTTGCTACATGCGAAACTGAACTGTACCATGCCATGCCGCATCATACTCTACGTATTAAACTGGATACTATGTGCTAAGTACGATCCCATGCACATTATGTTTATAGATATATACAGATGTATAAACAATTTATTTGTTTGTTCAATCTTTGCTCAAACAGTTAATATAAACGCGCCCAGTGACCTCCTCCGACTGCAGGCTTCTTAGCACCCGGAAGCAGCAATCGGCATCCAGGAAACTGGCAGGGACTGATTTGGATATAGGGCAGTTTGGGGCTTGGAGGGTCATGGAACAGTAGACAACATCGCTGGCGGAAAGTTACGCCCTTTTGCATCCAGGACTCTGTTCGCCAGCCGGGAAAGCGCAACATTCAAAGGTAAGATTACAAATCAAAGTTACGCCCTACTTCAGCAAACGCATCGGAGCCTTGCAAGTAAATGGTGCCACATCCTGTGCATTCTGAAACAAGGTCGACCCCCCACCCTCTCCTTCCCCCAGCCCCTTCCCTCCCCACTTCCTCCTACATCCTCAGGCACATCCTGGAGCCTCGACCTGAAGACCCGCTGCAGCCACATCGGGAAATCGAGCAGCCTTGAAAACCATCAGAAGGCCACATTTTCTTTGGACTGAAGCCTTCAATTGGCCGCTAACTACACGGCCTCTGATGATGCCGGCTTAAGGGCTCAGGATTTGGCACAGGGCTGCCGTGGCCTGGGAAGGCCCACCATGCGGATGAAGTAGTCGTCCAGCCCAGGAAGATGCAGGCCTTGCAGGGCATGCTTAGGCACTGGGGCCTTAATATTTGTAGAATAAGGTTTTGGGGTAATCTTATTCATCATGCATAATCCAGTAGCTTCTGCCGGCGTACACACTGGGGCCCATGCTCAAATCAATCTTGCCGCTGCGAGCCGCGAGGTCCGAATGTCCGGAAGTCAAGAAGACAAAAGCCTGGGCAAGCTCGGTGAATTCGGCAACCGAGAGTGTCTCATTGTGTGATCAAGCTGAAGGTCATGAGGATGCGGATTGCGTTGTGGTGGCGATTTCGGTTGTGAGCAGGATGATGACGACGATGGTGAAGTTGGTTACGATGAAGATGATGATGAACATGAGGATGATGATGAGGAGGGGGAGGAGGAGGACGCCGAGGATCATGATGGTAATGCTTGGTGTTCAACCTTTGCGCTTACTCGTGTTTCCATTACCAGGAGCAGCAACAAACGGAGCATGAAAGGAAGCATGACGATCTCGGGTTTCGTTTACAAGCCGGTGAGCATCCTTTGGGTTCAATGCTCAGGTTTGTAAGACCTGGTTGAAGGGCGACGTCGCAACAAGGGGATACACTGGCTACTTTGAAAACATGTTTTTGAAGGCGGTCTACCTTTTCGGCAATGTTTTGAGCATGCAGGGCTCAGTATGTAAGCATTGAGTCATTGAATTCTAAACTTCTAGCAAAACCCTGGCCGCTAAACCCTTGTCCTTGCCAGTGTGGGCTCTTCGGTTCGACAAGCACGGTCGCACAAGTCCAGGCAGGGGCCCGCAGCGGCGAGGAAACGTAGATATAGTTGTCAGAAGGGCTTCAACGGAGGCTTCGTAGTTGGACCTGCTCACAACGCCAAAACAGGGCTGCCGAACTAACTTTTGTACCGGACCTGATACATGGAGCCACAATGAGTCAAGCATGACGAAATTGGATACTTCGGAAGGAACACAACAGTGGAACAACATGTTCCCTGGCGGCGAACCCAAGGGCTCCCGTGGTCACGCCTTTGTGGCCCTCCCACAAGGGCTGGAGGCCGCTCTTCTGGTAGCCCAGGCTTCAACATCAAATCCACATCTTCAGGCCCCGAGGCCGGCAAGCCCTAAAGCCGCGAAGCCCTCGGCAAAAATAAGCTCGTAGACTTCTATCCCAGATGGTGGCATCCTTGATTGTGCATCCTCATTAAAGGATCTTGCTTCGAAAGCATCGCTGATACCACTCTTCTGGGCTCCCCGACCTCTTTTTCAGGCTGGTCTTCAACTCCCGGCCTCGTGCTTGGAGGATTTCGAGGTGCAGCGGGGTCAGGTGTTCGAAGAGACTACCCGGCTCAGGGCCGGGAGTCTCGGTGTTAAAGTGGCTGCGGGGCTCAGATGTTGAGACTATGTGATTATTACGACTTCGAATGACCGACTGGTTGTTTCGTGGAGTTGAAATCGAAGCTTTTGGGCGGACGTTGGAGGCTCGGGTGTGTGATCGTTTTCCATCGCAGCTCCGACCAGCTTGGGGAATCACCCGGACAAGCTCTGCCCATGGCGGGTGATCACGACTGGTCCAAAAGCCAGACCAAAGCTGCTGCAAAGACCTGGCAACTCGGGTGTTTAGGGTCCCTGCAGGAAGACCATGTTGGCCAAGTCCTCCTTCAAGAAGTTTAAAGCCACATCCTGCGACGGAATCTAGGGTCTGGACGTTGTTTTGAATCCCGCCTGGCTAGGTGTAGACGGGTTTGCCGAGAAGGCTCCTATAAAATTTCACATATATACTATATACGGGTCTGTGCTACAGCTATTGAACTATTGCAAGAAAGCAGGCTTCAGGGTTTGGAGGCCGGCTACTACATCGACGCAAATAACTGGAGCGTCCCGGCCGTACTCCCCAGGTCCCGAGCAGTCCCGGCGGAGGAGGGCTGAAATTTCGGATGGATGCCCCGAAGGAAAAGTGCCAAAATCAAACCGAAAAGCGAACACGACCACAACCAGGGCCACAACTACAAACAAGTTTAAACTTTAGACCGCCTGAACGAAGATACAAAGAAGATGAATGCTGCAAACTTACAGTCGTCAGGCTTCCTCAGAGTCGTTGTCAATGCTCTGGCAAAGCTTCTCCAAGTCTTGGTACCTCCCACCCCGGAACAAACAATTTCATAAGTATGGTGATGATGATCATGATTAATGTTTTTATTGTTGTTGTGACATTGGTATTACTACATAGTGACTGTTTTGATTATGATGGTAATTGTGATTACTATTCTGATTCTTATTGTTCTTATGAGCAGCCTTATGTGCATGATTATTGCGAGTATTGTGTAGGTCGCCATGGTCATCCTTGGACTTCCACAAGTCTTTACCAGGGGCCAGGGCTCGGAGATTCCGAGACGTAAATTGTCAGGGTCTGGGGATTCTGGTCCATTAGGGGTCTCGCTAAAAGAAATCAGAATATGCTTCAATGTACCACGACAGAATATAGGAAAAAATACTACAATATAATTTTTAATGCAATGTCGTATAATGCAACGTGATATGATGCATTATAGCATGATATATTACAATGTGAGAATGCGATGTGAAGTTCACGGCACATCACCGGCTCCCAGGGTTTTGGGCGCACGCCCTGTGCAGCTTGGAAGTAGCATCGGCAGATCCCTGCGCTGCAGGCAGCCGCATGCGAGGTAGGGCGGTATTGTCTGTGTACAGCCAAGTTTCAAAAGAATAAATGCACTCACCGAGTCCCCGAGTTTCATCCTACACCTGTGGCCTATGTTCAGCCCTCAGTCCTACACCCTGAAATGCCCTCGATTCCCGCCGGCAGATGCTGCATTCAGGCCATGTGTCTCCTTCAAAGAGGCTGAATCGAACTCTGAACCTTTACTTGAATCATTGACCTTTTGCGAGGGTCGAGAACCGCAGGGCTTAGATCCCCGAGGCTTTGTTGACAGCCCACGCAAATAATGACAAATAAGGACACATAGTGGCAATAAACCTCAAAAATGACAAATAAAGACGATAATAGTTAATAGACAAATCCGGACACATAGAGACAAAAGACAAATACAAGCAAATAGAATTTTTGATATGTGCTTTGAAGCAAGACAAGGTTTTTACTAGTTTCCAAAGTTGTTTATAACGGTTTTTATGCAGTTTTTGAAAACTTCTAGAAGTTCTTAAAGACCTTTAAAAACTTTAAAGGTTGTCAATGTTTTAAACATGTTTTAAAACCTTTCAAAAATTGTCAAAAACAGAAGAAGCTCGATGATGTACAGGATGAAGAAGACCTGGCACAGGTAGTATGCCGGTTAATTTGCTGCACAAACGAACTTTGGCCCTTGGCACTCTGCCTTTGGAAGGACTCGTCGTCTTCACGGGGTCAGCAAGACAGAATCTGTCTGAAATCTGAAATAAGGCGGCACCAAGTACTCTTAAACTCATTCGTTTTGCGTTCTGCGTCAAAGTCATGGGCATGAGTTTGATCCCAGCCACCATACCGAAGATGAGCAGCACCAAAGTGTCCACATGCCGCCAATTGTTCATTCTAGTCCCATGGCTCACATGGCCGAGATCTGCCATCTCTGTTCATAGCGATGACAATGTCAGACTGTACCCGGAGCTTGCAAAATCGGATTGGGCAAACAAGGCTGCCAACAAACAGCTGCCACTCACAATGGTCGTAAATCAGAACATCATCCATTAGCCACGCCCTGGCATCTTGCTGGCATGGTTTCGGTGCTGCCTGGCCATTCCATGCTTTGTACAACTTCATGTCCAGAATTCCGAAATCTTGGACCTGGCACTCTGCCTCTTTGACCCATTGATCCAGTTTTGCAGCCCTTTGGGTCTTATGCAAATCATTTGTATATTCGCAAACTTCTCTGTCATAGTTGACACAACTCCATCGAAGTTGTCGCAAGCGGCTGGCAGCGGCCATGAGCATCAGGAAGGATTTGAAAGACTGAAAATATTCCAATAGCATCACACCACGAATTTTTGTTTACAGGTTACATTACATTGGATGCTGACTTCATGGAACCAGCAAATTTATTGACTTGCTGCAAACGCTCACCGCTTTTTTCTCTCACTCTTGGAATCAATGGTGCGGGACAATCAGGACACGTTCCAATCTAACAGGACCTGCTGCAATCAATGCATATGCAGGGCAGCCTGGCCACCGCGTCATTATCACCGTCGGCAGAGGTGGAAGAAGCCGCCAGCACGGGAATTTGAATCAATCACAAAAAAACAAACATGATCAACATAAAGCCTTTGGAAACAAATAATGACAAATAAAAGCAAATAGAGTCAATAACAATCAAACAAGGACAAAGTTCGCCAAATACATGACAAAAATGAGGTGTTGGGCCTAATATGAAAAAGCCCTGATAAACTAAACCCTGTGGTTCCGGACCCTCGCAGAAGGTTAAGGATTTAAACTCCGATACAACAGAAACTCACAAATGAGGTCTTATATTGTTCAGAGACAACAAAGTGGCTTGCTAGATACGCTGACCGCGACGGGTCCGGCACAGTGCCACGTAACGATTTAGAATTTGGGTCTTCAGGCACCCTTCAAGCAACATGCTGCCAAGCCCGCAGCGGAGGTTGCTGCAGTTCGCAGCCGCGCTTGCACCTGATGCAGCTTCTCAACAAGACTCCCTTTGCTTCGACGCATGAAAAAGGAAAATTACCGGTTCGAGGACTTTCGAATTTCATGGACAAAAGATAGATGTAAGAAAGATGTAATGGGCTTTTGGCATTGTCTGATGATCCGCTGACCTGAGGCGCGGCCTGCACTGCCGGAAATCCCAACCAACCTACATGTTGCTTGCATCTATCTATGTGTCTTCCCACCTATATGTCTGTCCATCTATCTGTCTATCTATACTTAGAGATATGTACCTATAATATGTATATATATATATTATAATACAGACGCAATATCTGTTATCAGTTATCTTGTATACAAAAAATGTTGTATAATTTGCCCCGGACCGGTAAATCTCCCAGTCGAAGCGCCGGCCTCAACGGAGCTCAAGAGTGGGATGCCCAGGATGTCGATGAAGAAGGGCTGCAACTGGGCCGCGAAATGCGCCTGTGTGTGTGAGGCAGTGTGTGGAATTCGGTGTGCCGTTTTGTGCAGTTTTAAGTCTGCTTGGGCTTCGGATTTTCGGTCGAGGGTGTTCCCGCTTGGCTTAAGCTGTGGGGTCTATAGAGAACTGCTTCATCTTGACTACTAATATTCGTTGGGGATGTATCCCCGTATTGCTTGGATGACCGAGGCTACAGCCCACTGGCAACGGCGTTGGAGTGCGGCCCCGCTTGCAACTGCCCTTGAACATTGAACTCACAACCACGCTGTCTCCAAGACGCCAGTTAGCATGCAGCACCCTCCGCTTATCGCAAATGGCAAGCAATGGTTTCGAATGGCCGTGTTGTGACATCATGGCCTTACTGCTGCTTATCGCGCCATACTCGCTGGTTCTTAGTCGGGAATGGGGGAATGGGTCATTGGGACAACTGTAGAGGACCTTAAGGGACGATCATAGGGACCCGTTCCCATTCGGCCCATTCCCTACTAAGAATGGTGCCACTGGGGAGCAGTCAGCCTTAGCGTTGGGGGCCTTGGCAGAAACCGGGCATGAGGCCACAAAAGTGCCGAAGCAAACTGAGCAGTTTCAATTGCGATCCAAGAATATCCCGGATAGTGATAAATAGCAAATCTTCAGGATACTTGCAACAATGCCGATGAACAAAAATACAGCCTGCCTCAAGTGATGTGAAGCTCACCTCCACACCAGACGGTACATCCAACCACCTTACTTCAAGGTTCATGGGCAGCTACATTTAGCTGTCTTTTCAATGCTTTTCGGGTTTCATGTGGTATGTGCGGCATGGTCTTCTTGACTTTGTATGGAATGGGGCTTGTCTCATGGGCAGTTGAAGGTACGGTGTTTGTACGCACCCATCACTTGCCTGTTCAAGGCTATGGGAGGCATGAAGCGAAAGGACATCGAAAGGCATGTGGAGGATCCTCGGGCAAGTTGAGACAGTCGGTTCTTTAGCTTCGCCCAAACCTGCCCGAACAGAAACCTGAAAAGACAAGTAGTGTAAGACTCTGTCTGAAGCCCCCATAAGACGAAAGCTACAACCGATACGAATAAATAAAGCCCGACGGGAACACACGGACTATCTCGTCTTCGATGCTCCACTGATTTTAATGAGGGTCGCACATATGAAAATATCAGATGCTATGCGTCGAGAGCTCCTCGCCCTGATTCCCGGATATTAGCCCTTTTGCGGCTTGACCGGCGGGTATGCAGAGCCCAGGCCCGTGTTCAGCGAAGGGGTGGAGCATGGGAGCCCATGGCATGGCGAGCCTTTTTCACCCTGCAGATACCCGTCAATGGTTACGATTCCCCCTCAGCTTTCTTCTTCTTCTCCAAGGCTGTCAGGATGTGTCTACCTTAGAGCAAGGGGTGCGAGCCACTGCCGGAAAAAAACAAATAAGAGACAACGGCCCCAGGCGAAATCGTGACGAAGCAGACCCTGAGCTCCGCACCGGTAGGGGAGTGCTTCAGGTCCTTCTCCTTACAGACACGGAAATGAAGTAGCAAACAGTTGCGAAAAGATGAAAGTCCTGACACCAGAACTAGAACCCACCAAAAAACATGCTGAGAACAGTCAAGCTCGAACCCTATCAGGCCGTACAGCCTAGAATTAATGCGCTATGCGTCTTATGTGGCCCTTAACCTACAGCTGCTGAAAGATTGCACAGGCCAGGCGCCAGCACCTCGATGCGTCGTCGCAGCTCCTGCCAGTCCTCCCCACGGCTGTATTGGATGATGCGCTGCGCCGTATAGTTCCCAAACCTGGAAGGGAATAAACACTCACAACACAACACAAACTCAGAAATACAGCAACCGGAGAATCGCAATGAATAAGCCATAAGCTAAGGCATGAAGCTTATCTGTCATGAGCTGGTTTATAGGTGCTCGCTGGTCTCCAGCAGATCCCAAGACGGCAGAGTAGAGCGCCGCACGCTCCTTGCAGTTGGCTCTTGCCGAGACATTCCAGACTAGCTCTATTGTATTTTCATTTTACAATATAACAACATATCAAGTAGGTAGTATAATATAACATTATAAACCAAAACATATTGTAAAATAACATAATACAAACTGGCATAGTTTTTAGTATAGCATAGTATTCGTACAGTCTAGTATAGTATGCCATGGAAGAAACTCTACTCTGATATCTTATATGCTAGATAATTTAGATAATGATCTGACATGATGTGATATGGTCGAATACAGAACTTTACCCGGCGTAGGCCTGGAATCTAGGATGGTTTCGAGAGGGTTCCGGGTTTAGGGTCAATCACAAAGACGAAACCTAAAAGAACGCTAGTCTTGTTGAATCCTGTCACTGGCGCGCCCTGAAACTGAGAGTGCGCAACTGAACTGTGTACAGTCCTATCGTCGACGAGAGCTGACAGAATGTAATATCATATAGCAGAGTAGAGTATAGAGTGCATTATGATAGGTTACAGCTCTGGGGGAGCGAAACGCAGAAAGTTCCCGTTGTCAGAAGCTGCCATGTGGGAAAGTCTTAGAAATACCACCGCTTTACGAGCCAGCGTTTGGTCCTGAGGTTCATACCTTTGAACGATGGACATTGCCAAAAGCATCCAAAAGTGCGGCATACCGCTCGGCAAAGGAGCACCACCTCACACAGCTCCATCACAACAGCAGAAAGCAAAAGCCCAACATCCACACGCTTTTAAGCAAAGGACTTAAGAGGAATTTCAATATCAAGCTGCCACTATACGGCTTACGAAGGACATGCAGCGATACTAATCACAATATACTCCATCGTCCTCCTCCAGGCTTTCTGCCGCGGGCCCATCGGAGGTCACTTCGAGGCACTTCTCGACCACGTTGCTTGAGACCTGCCGCAGGGGAATCACTTGGCAGGGTTCTGACCAAGATACAAGTGAAATCGACGTGGATTGCATTCCGAGAACTGCCTACGTTGTGGTGTAGCTTCGCGCCATCCCGAGCGCACTCAAGACCAGAACTGCTATAGCTGTAAGCTTTGTCAAATCTCGCAAAGGCTCCCATACGAAAAAGTAGTCCGGTACAGGCTGTGCTTTCCAAATCCCGCCTTGTTCTTGGAGAAATCAAGGACATTCTTGCTGATCGCTTTCACGATACTTCGCTTGTCTTCGAAGCGCCCCTTCTCCAGAATGCATTGAATCACGTAATTGGCATGCTTGTCCTTTGACAACTTCCCCACTGCACTCACGATGGGGTCTAAGATTCCATCGAGACGGTCCAGTGGGCAGTTCTCCAAGAGCCTCTGGATGATCCGACAGCCATAAATGTGCGAGGCCATGCTCTCGGCTGTCTCTGAGCTCTTCGACACAGCCGCAATGACGAAATGAACCTGGACAGACATTTGACGTTGCTTCTGGCCCCCCGCGACGCCAACCCGAAGTCCCTCTACATTAAAACCTCGAAACCTCAAACCTGATACCCTGCCTCATCCAGGTTCTCTACAACCTTCTGGATGACGTGATTGCCGTTCATGTCCTCGATGCATTCTATGACATTGTCCATGATCTCGGAAGCAATGTCCATCTTCAACTGCTGGGGTAACGACTCCATCATCTTCTGGACTACTCTGCAACCATACTTGTCCTGGTCACCACAGGCGCAAAATCTGCTTCCCATTTCCTACCCCTACGTGAACAGAAGCGCTTGCTTGAGCATCCGAACAAACAGAGACATGCATTCTCCTGCATTGCGCTGAGAAAATGTCGAAGCCGCGTGCGAAAAAGCGACTCTGGAAGTGCTATAGGGGCCTAAATAATTACCTATACTATTTTTTTGAGGGGGGGGGTCCTTATTATAATATAAGTATAATATAATAGAATATATGCCCCCAAACCCTCTTCTAATTATTATAGGCCCCTACATTACTTGTCCCCAAAACTGAATTTCGACCCAAACCCTGCCCGTCCTTTGCGAGCTCCAGAATGCTGCCCTTGACTTGGGAGACCAAAGCACTCTGCTGCTCCTCCGTCCCAACCTCGAACAACTTCTGCACCACAAAGTTCCTGGATCGCTGGATCAGGAGAGGGCAACCAACACGATCGGCCATCCAAAATCCACATCCGGAAAACTTAGGCACCACTGACCCACCGGGAATGACGCAACCAGCAGTCATACCAAAACCGGCTCTCGAAAGAGCATTTAGTTCCATTTTTTGCTTCCACATTTACTATGGTCAAGCTTAGGCTCCCAAACGCATCATTTGCCAAGTGTACAACGTCCGGCAGCGCCCTTTCGAAGATCTGCGCTCGCTCTTCGGCACCTGAGGTGTTCAGGGCTCAGGCTTCCTTTGGAAAAATGCAGCCCAGGGAGATGCTTTCTGCTACAGTGTGGTGCGTCTGAATTGATGCGACTTGCCACTGTTCTCTTACAGGACCCGTGTTGAAGTGCAGTACCAGTTTCGAGGCCATTGGACAAGAAAGGTGCCCTGGATATCCGAGCTACAGAGATTGAACAGGACACGCCCTAAACAGATGCAAATTCATTGTGTGAGAACTCTGAAATTCAAGGTCGTCAAGAAAGACCATGTCGAACTATCGAGTCTTCTCTCTTCCGGCGTTGCTCTCTGCCACTCTGCGCTGTTGCTTAGAAAATGCCAGGAAAATGAGAAGACTTTCCTGCTGAGTCGACACTCCACGTACATGGTCAGAACGGACGTTCCAGAAACCTTGCCTTTCATAGCGATTGAAGGTGCTGTGTCTGGCAAATGCGGCTACTCGTGCAAATAACGCTTTCTCAGTGAGCACACAACCGGTCTTCACAGTTGTCCGGCATTTCCCTGTTCACGGCTCGTCTCCTACTCGTGTAATTAGACTCTCGCGACTCGGGAATGCAGGCGAGGCTTTTCAAGCATGGTAAGATCGTGGTGCATGCGAACTTTTTACACAGGCTTGATTGGAGCTGGCCCGGCCGGGTTCCCTGCAGCATGCGCCCTAAGCCCTAAAGCCTAATTAGACTGATGCCAGCTGCATGTCCGATTACATGTTGCTTAGAGTTCCCGTGATACCGCTAGGATCCAGAACCCCTCCGCTCCAAACTCCATAGCTCAGAAAAAGCGTAGAAAACCTTTCCCAGAATCTCCCATGAATGTCAAGTCGTTGGTGGCATGGTTCAGGCTTTCTGGCTCAGATTCCAACATGATTCGCACAAGACCTGAAAACACTAGAAATGAGTTCTTGTAAGGACAAACAGCCAAACCTAAAATTGGGGAGCCAAGTCGAGACGCTGGAGTTGCCGCTCAGCTTCCACTGCAGGAATCGACTCCCTTCCTGTTCCTGCGCTGCCTTGACCAATCTGGGCAACACCTCCGGGCGTTCCAGCGCAAAAGACTTGCGGTGACTCTTGCAGCTGCTGACCACAGGACGGCATGATCACCCAGCTGGCTTACAATGAAACAAAACATAATCAAGACCACTAGAATCAAAGCCGCTTCTGGCATGATGGCCATCAAAGCAGGCATCAAGCAAAAGTCTCCCTCAGGGTCGATCTCTTTCTGTCCCAGGCCACACTTTCGATATCGGCGTGTTATTACATACTCGGTTCTGCAATCCCCTGTGTAGCATCCCCGAGCTGCCCCTACACCTCAGAGAGGTTGAGCCGGATTTCCGCCGCATCCACCACGGGGTTTTCCGGCGAGGCCTCCGGGAAACAACAAGGCTCGTGCTCGAAGACAGAATGCCTCAACCTCAAGTTGCTAAACATAAGGGCAGTCTAGAGTTTAGGGGTTTAATCGGGATGAGTATTCAGGATTCGCATGTTCGCTAGAATTCTTCTTGGCATGCCGTACGCTGCAATCATTCCGTGGGTTTGAAAAGCTGCGTCATAGGTAAGATGGCTAACTTTGCAGGCGCTCGTCTTCCGTTCTTCGGTTCGGTCTTTCAGGGCCTCGATTTGCATTTCAGGGCTTGTTCTGTTGCTCCGGGGGTTAGGGTACGTGCGAGCTGGGGCTTAGGAAGCCGGCTTAAGTTGAGGGTTTGCTGCTGAGGGCTTTTCCGTCATACAGCTTCCTCCACGCCGAAGCCGCTTCTTGGAAAAAAGGCCGAGGCTGAGGCTTCTCAAAAGCTGAACATGCTCGAACTTCGTTCCCTGTAAGGCCGCTTTGCTTCCGGAAATCTCTAACGGGCTTTGTGCCTTTGTGCTGAGCAGGGACAGACTCAAGAGACTGTTCGTGTGGGAGTGTGTGCGTGTGCGCGCGCGCGCCCCTCGAGTCTAAACTCGCTGTTCTACGTAAGTCAGCTCTCCTGAACCTTTCGAGCCCTACTCCGCGCGACTCCTTGGGCGTTGGATTGAGGTGTTGAGGATCCAACGCAGGGTTTAATCCTGCCTACGCACGCGTGCAGTATTCAGTCTTGCCGAAGCTGTCACAATTTGAATCAGGGTTTTAGGAGTACGTAGGGTTTAAAGGGATCTTGAGGTTGTGGGTTGAGTTGCGCTGGAGTCTGAACAGCCAGAGGCCTTCAGAATAAGGCGAAAATGCCACTGGTACCTTTAAAACCGGTTGCAACATCGCCGAAAATTCCGAAAAGAACACGTATCCCAGTGTATAAGCCGAAACCCGGAACCTGAAAACCCAAAGGGCCTCCCGCTTTCGCTTCCCTCGGGGAGGGCCGGCGTTGTTCTCCTCCATCGGCCGTACGCACGTGCGTGGCATAAAGCTTATAGGGTTCTGCCAAAAAGCCCCAAGCCCCAATCCCGGAACCCTTCGCCTGTATCCCCAAACCCTACAGAACAGTGGACTGTGGCTCCCTGAATTTACAGAATCATGGTTATTGGAGCTACCGGTCAGACACCCTGAGCCACAATACCGTTTTACGGGTGGGCCCAAACCCCGTAAGCCTTGCTAAAATGTCCAAGCTAAAACCCTGAACACGGCTCCTTTTTGCCCTTCTGTCCCTTTCCGCCACCACGTTTCGCGGGCTCCCGCTGAGTCTGACGTTCGGGGCTGTAGCTCCTGGACCGAGCGTGCACAACAAAGGCAAAGGTTGGGATTCTCTCTCTGTTTCGTGACAAGATAAAACTATGCTCATAATTTATTCCGTTTTTGGGGACTGTGCTTGTCATCAGTAGATGGTCAAGGAAACGTCTTGATGGCATCAGTCTTAGTATTGCTCTTGTGGGGGTGCAGGGGTGCGGCCTTATGTCACACCCACGAGGAGCGTAGGGTCAGCTTTCATGCAACATCCCGGCCTGCTTGCTGGTGGGGGAGGGTAGTGAGGTGGGGGATAGTGTGGAGGAGGATAGCCGTAGCCGGGAGGGGGTGGGCCATAGCCCGCAGGTGGTGGGCCGTAGTGGCCATAGCCCGGAGGCGGTGGGTAATAGCCTCCTCCATAGGCTCCTCCTCCGTAGGCTCCGGGAGGGGGTGGGTAGTGCGGCCGGTATGGGTCATAATAAGGATCGTAGGCTGGCGGTGGCGGGTAACGGTAGTCACCTTCGTACCTTCTCTCCGGATCTCCATAAGGATTGTATCTTCTGTCGGCGTCTAGGTAGGGATCCTGGCCCGCTCTGGACGTAGGAACGCCGGCGTAAGGATCCCGATGTTCCCTGACAGCATGCTCATCCTGCCGCCTCGGAGATTGTGGATCATCGTGTCTACTGCGCCAGTGGTGACGATCTTGAGGCTCAGCAGGCGGGGGCTGGTAGGGGCCAGGGCGGTCGTAGGGACCGTACCGATCGTGTGGTCGATCGTATCGATCATAATGCGACATGGCTCGGCTCAAAAGCTCATCTCAGCATCCTGAATCCTGAAAGCCTGAAAACAGCCTGACGGCCTCTTCTTCTGCGAAGCCTCACTCATGCAAGCAACAGCTGGGCCAGCTTTGCCATTAGAACCCTCTCTCTGTCATCAACAAGCAGCCTTGGGCCAAACGGTGGAGGCGTGGAACAAGTGGAATCATGTCAGAAGTGCATGACTTCTCGGCAACACAAGCCATAGGATGATGGATGTGTCAAACGCAAAAGAATCATGTAAGATGCGCCAGTCAGGTATACCAGTCTCCGGACAACCCTGGCGGCGGTGCCTAGGCCAGCTGAAGATCCAAAGCATTTGTCAAAAGCTCCTGCACACCAGCTCCTAAACTTGTTAAACCCTTGATTCTGTGTCCAACATACTAAACCCGAACCCTGGTCAAGGTAGCCTTGCTTGCCGCAAGTGCCATCTTTTGCCGCTGATCAGTCGTGGGTTCCGATGCAGATCTTGCACTATGAAATAATGCCTTAATCCAGTGGCACTACTAAGTACTACTTCGACGCGACTACTTAATCCTACTAATGTACTATTAAGATGAAGACGACAAGCTAGAGGTAGTACCGCTGCGACTTACTATTGCTACTATTGCTACTACCACCACTACCACTACCACCACCACTGCCACTGCCACTGCCACTGCTGCTACTACTACTACCCACGACCACGACCACCACCACTACTACCAGTAATGGTATGACCACGATTGCTACTACTACAAATACTACTGCTACTGCTGCTGCTACTACTACTACGACGACGACTACTACTGCCACCACTACTGCTGCCACTGCCGCTGCCACTCTATACTATGCTGGTGTTGTGGCGACAAGCTTCAGAACCCGGATTCCGCGGTTGCAACTTCGGGTTAATACACGATGTCTTCTGGTTCTGTAAAACTAGAAGAAGACAGCTACCCCTTCGCGAGTCCTTAAATCGTCCTAGGTTTAAAGGTTTAGGGCTTTAGTAACTGTAGGCTTGTGCTACCGCCTGCCATCCGCCACATGGCGTGGCGAGCTACGACTATTGCCACCACCTTCGACCTGGGCAGAGCTTGAGCGACACAGCCGCAGAACAACACCTCGGCTGTATGTCTATTCTGCGAGCAGCTGGGCTAACTGGCTTCCAAGACAGAGTTCGGGCAAGGGCAATGCTACTTCAGTTGGGTATGGGCTCCAGTTCTAAAATGCAACTCTCGAACCAGTCTTGGGCTTCAACGTCGCTGCCTCGCAAGCTTCGGCGCACCACATCTAAATTCACACGGCTTATCGTTTCCCAACCACGCTGAACTCAATGTATACACCTACACTTTCAATGCCCTCCATATCGAGCTCTAGATTTGCATTCGCACGCACGTGCGTGTGTGTGTGTGTGTATGCATGCATGTACGAAAGCATGTATGCGCGGCTTGAACGCTCGCTTGTATGCATCGAGATAAGCCCACAGATACTCGCAACTCGCATGTAAACATTCAACAAACAAACCAGGTGCAAACAGCTACCACGAATATGTACACATATACAGTTATGAGCTACCTCGCTGTTCTACCTAGTGTTCTGTATTTTCGAACACATGTGTGAGTCAGCAGAATTTGTAAGGGCATGGGGTACCAGTATGTATGCGAGGATGTATGTATGTTAGTGTTTATATGCGTGTACATGTATATGTCTAGATATGCATATAAGTATATATGTACTTATATACGTATGTATACACACGTAAAAGCATGTGTATATACGTACCCACAGGCTGCATATGCATACCTGAATGTGCTCAGATGCAATGTAGCCGTGACGGACATATAGGCGATAGAAAGCCGGTGATAAGGTCATACCAAAGGAGGGCAGTTCTAACATGCATCCAAAGCACAGACTGCCAAGAAGGGAAGGACGACATATTTCGCCAGCATTGTCAGAATGGTCTGCCAGAGCGACAGGGGTCTGGAGCATTATTCGGCGCACAGTGGCCACCTTCGTTTTCCAGACGCTTTCGGCCTTTAACCTCGCTTTCGGGCGCCCAGGCCTTCCAGAGCCTCCGCGGCGTGCAGCCGCTGCTGCAGCTCAGGGTGCCGCATTGGTCCTGCTCTATGAACGCCTGCAGATTTATGGCTCAGGGTTGCAGCTCCAACAACTTCCTGAAGCCAGAGAGGCTCTATCCACAACCTCCGAGGAAATCAGGCCTCTGCTCCAAAACCCAAAGTTGCTGGTCATGATTAGACCATACCCCTGACACCCGAGCCCCACATGCTGCAGGTTGAAGCAAGCGGTTGTGATTCAACAGTATGCAGTCACTGAGATAGGCCCGTGTCAATGGAACACGGGGGCTGCAAGGGGCTGAAGACGGGTGCAACAATGCAGTCATGATCAGGTCTGAAGGACTAGGGAGGTTTGTAGCGGAATGGGCATTTGGATTTTTGATGTTCCTCGCTCGCTCTCTCGCGCTGTACTGCCTGCTGGACTTGAAAAAGTTCAATGCGGTCGCACTACTAATGCTGTTGCTAGATGGAAAATATTGAAGTCATTGCTGCATGCGATTGATACTAACATGCATTGCTGTCACCGATGGCAAAAGGAACACAGGAGTGCATGATAAACAAGCAGAAGCAAGCATGCATGAATGGTCGCAGGGCACTTTCTGTGGTGTTGGCTGGCATCGCTAACCCAAATGCAGCTAAGTGTTGCCAATACGTACACCTGCTGCATGGCGAGTGCGGGCCGCGACACGGTCTGCCCTTCAGGAGCCCGCATGCATTGCTACAGCTGCAGAAAAAGAGTCCAGGACATAGATGCAGCTCTCTAATGAGAACAGCAAAAGTGTTCATGCAAACAGACACGCACACAGTCCACATATGCATGCACGACTACATACAGACATGCAAGTACGTTCACACAAACATGCATACGTGCATGCATACATACATACATACATACCTACATACATACATACTTACATACGCATTTACAAGTACAAGTGCCAGTACAAGCGCAAGCTCAAGTGCAGATGAAAGCACAAGCACAAACACAAGCACAAGTATATACATACATGCATGCATACATACAAGAACATACATGCATGAATGCATACATACATACCTGCAACGACACCGAAAAAGTTCATGGTGGCGGCTGCATGGCCTGGGAAGTCACATGCTCCCAACCAAGGAGTGCTTGGAGGAACATCGTGGTGGTGTCGTTGAGGGATAGGCCTCGTGCTGCGTCCCTCTGAAGTCTGCAATCTAGAGTTTTCGGGGGCATTGCCTGAGGCAGCAAATTCAAGGCAGTTCTACCAACATTTCTGGCAAACCAAATTGCATCATAGTGCTGCCTTCGATAAACGATACCACTGAAGTCGTTAAACGGTTGAAGCACCTCTCAGATAACTTACCGGATAACAAGGTCGTGTCTCCGAATTCTTGCGCTATCCCTGCTGTGAGGTTGATGCCAAGTAGGCAAACCTCTTCATCCAAGTCGATGCCAAACCCGGCTCTTCACAAGACATACCGCTCTCAGTGGGACGAAGCGCCTACGTCTTCATCCTGATTCTGGCTTGATGTAACCATGCAATCGCAGCAAGCCCGGCCTCTGCCAGGACCCTCCTTGAGCCGGACGGTGTAGTAGCTGTCCCCTTCAGATATGCAGTGCCCTCGGCCAGTCCGAGAACTCTCATGTCGTGCCTGGAGGCCCGCTGTGGGAACCAAGGGCAATGCCCAGCAAGAACTGTGTAAACGGACATTCTATTGCCTCAAAGGGTCCGTAGCATGCAGAGGCGAATACAAGGCGCAGCTTTTCCTGTGGACAGAGCCCAGGATGCGTGGCTGACAGATGTCCACAAAACACCACTGGCCTGCCACGGCGTCAGAACAAAAACTGACCTTCGAACATCACGGAAGCATCCTTGACCAGCTGGTGCACCATTCAATACGCCCTGTGCAACCGACACGGGCACAAGCTTATATCTTCGTTCATACATATATATATATATACGCCATAGTCATACGGATGGGGTATAGTAGGTAGCGGCATGAGCAGCCAGCTTGGTAGGGTTTGGTGCCATACGCATCTAGTGGTAACTACACACTCAACAAAGTACCCATGACCCCTGACTATCAACACCATCCTGTCCTAACCTCAGCGAAAATCCTCTAGCAAACCCCGAATGACCGAATGACACAGCAGGTCGGGACGCCCCGGTTGTGCAGCAGGAAGATTGACTCATCTCTAAGAATACCATGACACGAGAATCCCTTTCGAGTGTACAGTATAGAAGACATGAACGTGCAGGGCACACCCAACTTCTCTGCTCTCAATGTATGGGTCACGTTCAGATCCCACGCAGTAGAACGTGCGTCCAACCGTAGGCCTTAGACGACAACACACACACACACAAAACCAAGAGACTACGCCCATACAGGATCAGCCCTCCCTGCCGAACAACCTCTGGATCACGAGCTGGATTGAACTCTAGTGGATAACTCAATTATCTCTGCACCCCCACAAAGGCATACAATCTCAAAGTAGCCCTGAGCCACCTTGAAAGCCGTGAACCCGAAAAGCTTGAACCCTTGGGAGGTTTAGTCTTTAGGTCCTGGCTCATCTCCGTGCCAATCCGGAGCGTCTGCATCAGCTCTGATCGTAGAGAGGCTATGACCTGACTCATGACGAACCGAGTGGTGGGTGTGGGATTCGGCTGAGCTACAGTCTCATCAGTGAGAATTGCAGCAGGTGTCCTCATAGCACTACCAGCAGCTCAAGGTCCCTGTAAAGCTTAAAGCCTCAGCCGTTAACCCCAGACCCTAAACCAAAAACCCAAACCTCCCAAACCTCGAAGCAGTATAACCTCTACACTCTTCAACCAAGGAACTGTCATGTCCAGTCTGCTTACCGGTCCGCCCAGAGGACCTCCAAAGAAGATGCTGTGCAGGTCTTTCGCCTCAGGCGCACTGGCTCAAGGCCAGCACGGATTCATACAGCAGGGTCCCTTCGGGGTTTTGGGCCAGGGCCGAGAAATTGCGATAGGTGTCGCGGGCAGGGTGAGATCTTGCGTGGATTGCTTGCTCTCATGTGGCGCTTGGCCTGCGAGCATCCTTTAGCATTCAAGGCAAGCTGCAAGGTGCTCGAACTGGAACCAGTCGTTCAGCCTTGCACGTGCTCGTGTGCATATTATATATATATATGTATTAATATATGTGGTTATAATATACATATATAGATATATGTGTGTGTATGTATATATGTATGTATGTACATATGTATGTATGTATGTATGTATGTATGCATGTATGCGTATACACACTCTTGTATATACATACATGGTATGTGTGACTATATATATATAAACATACATACATACATACATACATACATACATACATACATACATACATACACATCTCGCTCTCTCTCTCTCTCTCTCCCCATCTATGTTTGCATGCTTGTGAATATGTGCACATATACAAATGTACATACATACGTATTGTTTATGATTGCATATAGAAGCGTGCAGGTATACAAACACCTTTACCTTTACTTGCTTGTGCATGTATGCACGAATCACATGCTAATACCAGCACCAACGGCTACGTTTGCATCACAAAAAGCACCGTCTGCTCATCATGAAGTACCACACACCACCAGCATTTGCCACCACCAAGAGGAACCGCAGTCATGTTTATTTGCCTTGATGTTTTATTTACTTCGGGGTTAACAAGCACAGAAAAGTAAAGATAAACGGACAATAAGTAAAACAAGCAGAAGTACACACCTATGTTCATATATGCACATAGAACACGACGTATGTGCATCTGTTTGTGTAAATATGCACATTCTACTATCACTGTAGCGGCTAAACAGCACATGACCATACATGAAAATAGCACGCACCGGACTATGCGACATGTGCATGTATATATATATATGTGTGTGTGTGTGTGTGTGCGTGCGTGCGCGGGTGTGCCTGCTTTCTTGCATTTTTGCTGGCGTGC